ACTCTTTTTTGAGGGCTGAATAATATTTTATAAACCACATTTTTTATCTATTCATCCATTTATTGACATATAAAAATGAAAAAAATATAGAAATCGCAGAAATAAACCAACATATCTAGGATTTTCTCATTTATTTTAATTCATACATAATATGTGTACATATTTATGAGATACATATGGTAATCTGACACATGAACACAATATGCAACGATTAAATCAGCATATTGAGTTAGTTCATCACCTTGAACATTTGTCATTTCTTTGTGTTGGGAACATTTTAAAACTTCTAGCTATTTTGAAATACACTATAAAATGTTGTTAACTATAGTCACTCCACTATGCTATCAAACACCAGTGTTTATTCCTTCTATTTAACTGTACGTTTGTACCCACTAAACAACTTCTCTTCATCTCCATCTCCCCCGTCTATCCTCTACTAGCCACCATTTTACTCTCTGACAAAAGTGCCAAAAACATACAATGGGGAAAGGACAGTTTCTTCAATAAATGGTGTTGGTAACACTGGATATTCACATGCAGAACTAAATTGGTCCCTCATCTCACCCTCCCTCAGTACCTGCAAGAGATTCATTCCAGGAACTACTGTGGATACCAAAATCTGTGTATACCCAAGTCCCTCAGTAGGCCCTACCAATCCACAGGATTTGCATCTTGAAAATACTACATTTTTGATGCACTTATCATTGTGAATATGGAACCTGCTGATATGGAGGCCTGACTGTATCTATTGAAAACTAAATGTGTGCATAAGTGGAGGCATGCTGTTCAAATCTGTGTTGTTCAAGGGTCAACTGTATACCATGTTTTTAATCCAATTATCCCTCAATGAACAGTTAAGTTGCTTCCATGTCTTGGCTATTCTGACTAATGCTGCAATGAACAATAGAGTGTAGATGTCTCTTTGAGATAATGACTTTATTTCCTTTGGGTATATACCCAGTAGTGGGACTGCTGGGTCACAGGGGAGTTTTATTTTTAATTTTTTTGAGAAACCCTCATGTTTTTTAATAATGGCTATACCAGTTTACATGCCCATTAACAATGTGTAAGGGTTCCCTTTTCTCCATATCCTTGCCAATATATGTTATCTTTCACTTTTTGATAATAGCCATTCTAACTTTTGATTTGCATTTCCCTGAAGTTAGTGACATTGAGCAATTTTTCATATACTTGTTCACTATTTGTCTTCTTTGGAGAAATGTCAATTCAGTTACTTGGTCCATTTCTTTTAAGGGAGGTTATTTGTGTTTTTCTTCTGTTGCGCTATATAAATTCCTTATGTAGTTTGGATATTGACCTTATGTCAGATATATGATTTACAAATATTTTCCCCCATTCCTTGGGTTGTGTTTTCATTTGTTAATTGTTTCCTTTGCTGTGCAGAAGCTTTTCTTTTCTTTTCTTCCCTTTTTATTTTTATTTTTCTGATGGAGTTTCACTCTTGTTTCCAAGGCCGGAGTACAATTCCTTGGTCTAAGCTCACTGCAATCCCCTCCTCCCAGGTTCAAGCGATTCTCCTGCCTCAGTCTCCCACGTAGCTGGAATTTCAGGCACCTGCCACTGTGCCCGGCTAACTACTTTTGTTTTTAGTAGAGACGGGGTTTCACCATGTTAGCCGGGCTGGTCTCGAACTCCTGACCTCAGGTGATCCGCCCGCCTCAGACTCCCAAAGTGCTGGGATTACAGGCGTGAGCCACCATGCCCGGCCAGGCTGTGCAGAAGCTTTTTATATTGTCTTCTTATAACGCAATAATAAAGAGGATAGGAAGAAATTTTTGGACATGGTAAATATTCTTATGGCATAGATTTGGTGTGGTTTAATGGATATATACTTATCTCCAAATTAATCAGGTTGTATACATTAAATATGCACAGCTTTTTGTATGTCAATCATACCTCCATAATATGGTTAAAAATATCGCTTGCTTTTGGATGGATACAGATTAAATTTTATTTTATATTCTTACATGCAGCAAAAATTAGTAATTCTATTCCTTATTCTTCATTCTGTTAATACTTTCACTTCCAAGGCCTAATTATATGTTTTGTAAAGCCCTTTTGCCACTGTGCATGACAATTATATGGCTTTTTATTCGTAATCCCTAGGATAAAATAGTTTACAATAACATATCTATTCAAAGTGAAAGTTGGGTTTGTCAGTTTGCTACTTGCTCTTCCATGTTAGGGTCAACCAAGATATTTATCTGGACATGTATGGAAATGAAATATGCATACACATTCATTTGAATGTATGCATATTTCAGATAAGGTGTATGAATGTCATAAATATAAGTATGATAGCATTAGAAAGTGAGAGAGACAAGTAGAGAGATAGAATAAACTAGCTATTTATAGACAAAATGATTGGAAGTATGTATTTGAAAGAAGTGTGTATATTTGTATATGTTTGTATAAATAAATATCTGTGTGTATGTTTATTAATAACATGGGTGTGATTTACATATATCTGTCTCTTGTTTTACAAGTTGGTATTTAATAAAAACCCTGGAACACAACCTAGGCAATACTATCCTGGGCATAGAAATGGGGAAAGATTTCATGACATTGATAACAAAAGCAATCACAACAAAAGCAAAAATTGACAAAAGGGATCTATTTAAACTCAAGAGCTCTGCGCAGCAAAAGAAACTGTGAACAGAATAAACAGACAACCTACAGAATGGGGGAAATTATTTGCAAACTATGCATCTGACAAAGGTCTAATATCCAGCATCTTAAGGAACTTAAATTCACAAGAAAAAAACAAACAACCTGATTGAAAAGGCGGCAAAGGACATAAACAGACATGATTCAAAAGAAGGCATCCATGTGGCCAAAAGCAGGTAGAAAAAGTCTCAATATCACTGATCATCAGGAAAATACAAATTAAAATCACAATGAGATACCATCTCACACTAGTCAGAATGGCAATTATTAAAAAGTCAAAAAATAATGAATCCTGGCCAAGTTCTGGATAAAAGGGAACACTTACACGCTGTTGGCGGGAGTGCAAGCTAGTCCAACCATTGTGGAAAGCAGTATTGCAATCCCTCAGAGAGCTAAAAGCAGAACTACCATTCAACCCAGTAATCCTATTACCGGGTATATACCCAAAGGAATATAAATTACGCTACCATAAAGACATGTGTACGTGAATGTTCATCATTAGCACTATTTACAATAGCAAAGACATGGAATCAACCTAACTGCCCACTAATGGTAGATTGGATAAAGAAAATGTGGTATATATATACCATGGAATACTATGCAGTCGTAAAACAGAATGAGATCATGTTTTTTGTGGGAACATGTATGGAACTGGAGGCTGTTATTCTTAGCAAACTAATGCAGGAAGAGAAAACTAAATACCACATGTCCTCACTTAAAAGTGGGATTTAATAATAAGAGCTTATGAACACAAAGAAGGAAACAACAAACACTGGGGTCTATTTGAGGGTAGGTGGTGGGAGGAGGGAGAGGGACAGAAAAGATAGTTATTGGGATACTGGTACTAGTACCTGGGTAATGAAGTAGTCTGTAAGAAAATGTGGCACATATACACCATGGAATACTATGCAGCCATAAAAATGGATGAGTTTGTGTCCTTTGTAGGGACATGGATGCAGCTGGAAATCATCATTCTCAGCAAACTATCACAAGAACAGAAAACCAAACACCGCTATGTCTCACTCATAGGTGGGAAGTGAACCAATTGAGACACTTGGGCTCGGGAAGGGAGCATCACACACCAGGCCTATCTATGGGGAGGGGAGGGGGAAGGGGATTGCATTGGAGTTATACCTAATGTAAATGATGAGTTGATGGGTGCTGGACAAGTGATGGGTGCAGCACAGGCACCATGGGCACAGCTATAGCTATTACCAACCTGCACTTATGCACAATGGTACCCTTAGAAGCTTAAAGCATAGATAATAATTTGAAAACCAAAAACAAACAACTCCCATGCAATGGTTTTCCTGTGTAAACAAACCATCAATGTACCCCTGAAATAAAAGTTAAAAAACAGCTTTTTAAAGTTTCTTTTAATTTATAAAACTGTTACCTCACCGGTCTAATCTATTATATATTACTAGGATGAGCATTTTTCTTTGAAAAATTCTTCAGACAACGACAAGAAGCGTCATTATTGATTTATATGTTCATGGATATTTATTGTATATTATTCAGTTAGGATAATTTTCCCATCATATATTATTTTGTGTTGGCAAAATAGCTAAAATCTAAATACAGAAGAAAAAATATAGAAGTATTAAAATATGTGTATAAATTTCTGCCCATACATCATGAGGAGTATGTGCCTAAACTGCATTTTAATCTCATTTGAAAATCTGTTTTTATTTTTGTTATGTGTTGTAATTAGGTAAATAATGAAATATCAATAAAATATTACCTATTTTATCACTTGCATAAGCATCTGTGGAGGGTTCTGCGTTATGGAGGTTTTATAACTGCATCCTGATTGAAAGACCATGTCTCAGGCGGGGCGCGGGTGGTGACTCACGCCTGTAACCCAGCACTTAGGAGGCCGATGCCGGGTAGATTATGAGGTCAGAGATCGAGACCACCGGCTAACAGGGTAAAACCCCGTCTCTACTAAAGATACAAAAAATTAGCTGGGCGTAGAGGCGAGCGCCTATTAGTCCCGCAGCTACTGTGACACTGAGGCAGCGAGGAATGGCGGGTGAACCCAGAGGCAGAGAGTGGCAAGAGAGGTGCGCCATTGCTGCAGCTCCAGCCCAGGGAACAGGAAGGCTACACTCTGTCCAGAAAAGAAAAAAAAAAAAAAAAAAAGACCCTGTCTCAGTTATATAATCACTCTAACTGACTAAGTTTTTCCCTTGCCTTGGTTATTCCTTTCCCATGAAGCCCCAAACCTGGCAGGAATTATCTCTACCTTCAACCTAACTTGACTTCCAGCTTAACATCACCAAGTGTCCTGTCCACCAAAGGTATACATTTTAGTCTCCATAACAGTGAAGGATCCGCAGTACCCACTCCCGCATTTGTTTGGTCCTGGCCCCATAAATCAAGGGGTTAACCATGGGAGGCACCAGGAAGTAAAGATTGTCAATGATGGTCTGCATATGGGGAGCCATATGGTAGCCTAAAATCTGGGCCAGAACCGAGAAGACAACAGGAGAATAAAAGAGACTAATGACACAAAGATGACAGCCACATGTACTGAGAGCTTTGCCCCGTGCATCCCAAGATGGTATCTGAAAGACAGCATGAAGGATTAGTCCATATGACAGAATGATAAAAAACAGATCAAATCCCACAGATGCTACAATAACCATGAGTCCATAGACAACGTGGTCAGAGATATGTTCACAGGCTATCTGCACCACAGCCATATATGCACAGTAGGAGTAAGTGATTATGGGGGTTTGGAAGCTTTGCAGTCTTTTTGCCAGAATGGGGGCTGGGGTCAGCACTGCCACTGCCCTTGCCAGGATAGCCGGTGCCATCTTCACAAGCATGTTGTTACCAAGGATGGTTGTATATCTTAGAGGGTACCAGATAGCCGCAAATCTGTCAAAAGCCATGGCTAGGAGAATCCCAGACTCCATGACATAGAAGGAAGGAATGAAAAACATCTGTGTGAGGCAGCCATTGAAACTGATTTCCTTGGCATTCATCCAGAAGGTAGCCAGCATACGGGGCACTGTGACACTGACAAGGCACAAGTCAACAATTGACAGCATGGCCAGGAGAAGAAACATGGGCTCATGAAGACTCTTCTCTATCCAGGTGATACATAAGATGGTGACATTGCCAATGACTGTAATGAGACATACCAAGAAAAAAGGCACAGAGAACCAGCCATGGAAAGATTCAAGGCCAGGAATTCCAGCCAGGATAAATATCGAGGGCTGAGGAATGGAATTGTTGCAAGAGGACATCCCTAACCTGAGCTCCTCAACGTCTGATTCCTAGGGAAAAACAAGCAAACAAGGAATGTTTTGGAATCATTGACCATTTGCACCTATAAAATGATGGTCCTTACAGTAGTTTTGATGGTGAAACTCATGATTATTTTGTGTAAACTAATGATCAAACGAATGTTTCAGCTACTTGGGATGGAGAGAGGAATGATCCTTGGCTATGTCTTCTGCAAAAAGGACATGCAGTCTCAGAGATAAATTTTCAATAAGGATATATCAACTCAAGTGTTTTAGATTCTCCTGTAGCTCTGATTCTATTTAACATTCAAGTTTCACAATTCTCTAGGAATTTTTTCTAGGTATCAGTCCACTGCAAGACAATGTTTTCAACATTACAGACAGGGAGTAAGGACATGAACAAGCCAGAAAGCATAGTTTTCACTCAAGACAAGGAAGCTAAATTTAATCCTACCCAGTTTTATCATACCCAATTAATTGTCCCCAGTTTCTGGGATTGGAGTTGGTGCTTTGATATTCATCCTGGAACATTTAGTTACAAATTGTTGATTTTGACAAAGGAAACCTAGAAAGTCTGCTGATCTTATGCCTAGGAAGCATGAGGGTAATCTGGAGGAATAACAGATGTTTCGGATGACAAATGTGGAATTCAAAATCATCTCAATAGATAATAACTTAGTTAATACTAAGTTTCCAGATATCTCAAACCTCAATAAAGCCAGGTTTGAGAGTGGGTATAGATAAAGTTAATTAATAGTTTTCTTTACATATTTGTATCTGTGTGTTTTTATAAGGGGAGTATAGTTTGGGGGTTAATGGTAACACAGTTTTCTATAGAAATAAGGATTTATTGTATTTGTTAAATATTTTAACTTATGTAACTATTCTAAATAGATACACATATTTACAAATTATTTGTAACATAAATTAACCAAATTATGGCTTTCATAGATCAAAGAGTATACTCGTCATATTAAAAGTTGAAACCAAACAAATATATAATAAATACAAAAATATGTCTATAGAAATAAGACATTTTGTTGATAATATGATTATAATTAAATTTCGCTGTTAAGTTTTAGACTTCAGATTTTGTTAGAAACATTCCAACTCTATAAACAACAATAACAGAAAAAAAAATTTCCAATAAAAACTTAAAGAATAAAAAAGTGTACCACAAAGTTGCTTCAAAAATAAAAGTATAGAAATGTTAATATTGTGTTGACTATTTTGCTTTAGTTAATGAACTTGAATTATTAGTGTTTTTATTTATATCTGTATCAATTGAATTCCAAATTCTAATTTAGTATATTCACAATTTTTAATGCCAGTTCATCATTTTTAAGTTTCTTCTAACTAATTATATATTTTTATTTTGGCCATAGTGTTACCCTTTAAAACAAAATTTAAGATGCTTAAGGTTAGATTATATAAACTTTGAGTGGAGCTTTTTAAAATTAATTTACTCTAAATTTGTAAGATCCTCAAATAGGGTAGCATATTTTTAAAAACACTACTGAGCATTTCATCATCAATTTAGTTATTCAATATAAGTTTTAATATGCCAACTCCATTTGGTAAAAGGCACACCATAGCTTAGTGATAGGTCTCCTGGAAGGTAACTTGCTGTAGTGAAAATACCAAGGTATTTGAGATAATACATGTCTGGGATAGAATCTCAGCCCTGCCACTTATTCTATGTGATTTGACTAAGTTATTTAATGCTTTCAGACTCATTTTTTAAAATCTCAACAAAATGGGATGAGGCATATATTGCAAAGTTGGTAGTGAAGATTAAGTCTGTCATTAAATTCCAATATTGTATAAATACATATATATTCATAGCATAATTCTTTGAATGTTTTATTGCCCTAGAAATGCATTTTTTTTTTTTTTTACTTTTCTATGAAGTACAAAGTTAAAAGAAATGTGGAAAAAATAGTTTTCATTTTGCTTTGTTTGGTTTTTATTAAGAACTTTGACTAGGAAAGTGGATAGTCTTAAACTGATATCATAAGAAGAAATATTTGACGTTTCTGGTCATTTTGTCTTCAAATATTTTTAGATTCTTTATGTGTTAAAGGGAAAACAACTATATATATGTATGTGTGTGTGTGTGTGTGTATGTGTATGTGTGTGTATATATATATATATATATATCACCAGAGGTAGATACCTGGCCAAATAAAAGGTGTTAAAAAGTAAAATAATAAATGAATAAATATATACATTTTAGTTTAATAATAAAGTACAGGATTCTATCACAAACATAGGATTTTACAAAAACAAACAGAAAGCCTTTCTTGTAAAACCAGAAGCTCATCATCAGTGGAGTTTTCAAGTAGAAACTAATGATCATTTATCAGGAATACTATGGATAAAAATTATCTGGTAGTAGTAATAGGATAACATTGGAACTTTGAAAGCAAAAAGGCAAGTTTTGGTCTGAATGATCAGAAGCAATTGCCAGCAATAACCATATCAATATTAACTGAAAGTAAAGGCAACATTAGGTAAAAATTCAAAAGATATTTATAATTTTCTAAATAATGTTATTAGTCATTCTAAGCACTGCAGAAACTAACCATGGTCTTACAAGGGTTAGCGATTGTGGCATTTTGGTTGAGAAGATTTGAAAAGACTTTTCCTATATGACTTTTTGCACTTCAGAGTTTTCTAACATTTCCCCTACCCTCTGTTGTCCCTTTTCCTGGAGTAATACCTGTAGATAGTTGTGAGTCTGATCACAATGACTCAAAGACTAACAAAATCCACTTGAAGTATGAGGAAGATCTGTGGATCTCCAGGATAAGATGAAGGTGTGTGGGCTTGAGGCAGATTTATGTTGGTTTTCCCTGGCCGTCCTTCATCCCTAGTGGCCTTTTACTTAACCAACGTGTTTTTCATAGCTTGGATATTCGGGGAAGAAATCCCATAGTAAATCATTGAGGATAGCACATGTGGATAACAGCAAATGTTCAGAAGTGCTGTAGAACTGTTAGTGTATTGTAGGAGGTACTCTGATTTGGTTTAGGAACTCCAGAGGGAGGAGTACAAATTGAGAAATTATTTAGGATGAAAATTAAAGAAAGTCTGGAGCCATGGAAGGATTATATTCAAGACAGAGTTGCTTGTGTCTATAATGGCACACAAATTGCTATAGCTTACTTCAAAATCAATAGTCATTTTCATTTCTAGTGACTTTGGGGCTTCCAGAAGTAAAACTGACACTTAAATTAAGAGTCTTGGTTTTTTAGATGGAATTAGCGCATACCAAAAATAATAGCAAAAGAATTATGTACTAAGTGAAATAATAATTGAAAAATTACCATTGTTTGGTAAATAAGATATATAAAAAAGAAACACGGGAGTGACTGAAGTAAGTACAAGAGAGGAGTCCTAGGGGAAAAAAATATGTTGTATAATACTAGGGTTAGGGAGAACTGAGTTTCAAAAGGACTTCTTGCAGGAATAAGAAACTAAACTTGTGAGTAGACCTAGAAAGGGGAAGAAAATGTTGGGAACTATTTGGTTAGAGAAGGTGGTGGGATGTGAACACCCTGATGGTAATTTTTTTACATATGTACACACACACACACACACACACACCATGGAACACTATGTAGCCATAAGAAAGAACAGAATCATGTCCTTTACAGCAATATAGATGCAGCTGGAGACCATTGTCATAAGTGAACTAAGACAGAAGCAGAAAATCAAGTATCGTGTGTTCTCACCTGTAAGTGGAAGATAAATGGTACACATGGGCATAAAGATGTAGAAAATAGACTCTGGGCACTCCAAAAGAGGGAGGAAGACAGGTAAGGGTTAAAAACTTAATTACTGGGTACTGTGTCCAATATTTGGGTGACAGGCACACTAGAAACCCAACCCGCACCATTATTCATGTAATACCCATAACAAGATAGGGGCATGGCAGGCCAGAGTGATCTTGAAAAATGCAACATTAGGGCAAGAAATTGCCACAAGAGTGCCTTTTCTCATTTAGGTCCATGGGTACAGGCCCAAGGGTGGAGCCCTCCCCAGGGACCTCCCCTTTCGGTACCCAGCACTTCCATGCCCCCCTCCTGAATCAATATAACTTCCTGAGGCATGGACTTCTCTTTTGCTCCCTTTTCCTCAGAGTACAGCATGATCTGGTACAGTTTGCCACTCCAAAAATATGAGTTTTTATTATATGAATTATATTAAAAAGTTGAATATCTCTTAGGTAGAATTTAATGCAGTGTTTTTGAGAATATACATTCATTGTTATTGAACATTTCCAATCTGATGTTCATTGGCAGATAACCTGAAAGTACAGATTCCATAGTTCATATTTTCAAACCTAATGTGTAGACAATCTTGATATGTAATTATATCAGTAAATATAATTAAACTCCATGATTAAGGGTAGTTCCAAATAAGAAAACAATATAGACTGAGGGTCCAGAGTAGGTAGCTCATGGTCAAGAAATGGTAAATAAATAAATAAATAAATAAGATGTAAGTCTTGAAGTTCTCCGTGTCCCTAGGGGTTCTCTTCTCTTTAGCCTTGGAGAGATCTGTTCCTACTGTTATTGTCGTGTTTCTCCATTAGCTTAACAAAGATTTTTTTTTTTTATTATACTTTAAGTTCTAGGGTACATGTGCATAACGTGCAGGTTTGTTACATATGTATACTTGTGCCATGTTGCGTGTGGCTGCACCCATTCAACTCGTCAGCCACCCATCAACTCTCATTTACATCAGGTATATCTCCCAATGCAATCCCTCCCCCTTCCCCCTCCCATGATAGGCCCGGGTGTGTGTGTTCCCCTTCCAAGTCCAAGATCTCATTGTTCACTTCCCACCTATGAGTGAGAACATCGCGGTGGTTTGTTTTTTGTTCTGTGATAGTTGCTGAGAATGATGGTTTCCAGCTGCATCCATGTTCCTACAAAGGACAACAAACTCATCCTTTATGGGCTGCATAGTATTCCATGGTGTATATGTGCCACATTTTCTAATCCAGTCTGTCACTGATGGACATTTGGGTTAATTCCAAGTCTTGCTATTGGTCAATAGTGCCGCAATGAACATACGTGTGGATGTGTCTTTATAGCAGCAATGATTTATAATCCTTTGGGTATATACCCAGTAATGGGATGGCTGGGTCATATGTGTACATCTAGTCTAGTCCTGAGGAATCGCCATAGCTGTTTCCATAATGGTTGAACTAGTTTACATCCCACCAACAGTGTAAAGTGTTCCTATTTGCTCCACATCCCTCTCCAGCACCTGTTGTTTCTGACTTTTTAAATGATTGCCATTCTAAATGGTGTGAGATGTTTATTCATTGTGGTTTTGATTTGCATTCTTCTGATGGCCAGTGACGATGAGCATTTTTTCATGTGTCTGTTGGCTGTATGGAACTTTCTTCTTTGAAGAAAATGTCTGTTCACTATCCTTTGCCCCTTTTGGATGGGGGCCTGATTGTTTTTTTCTTGTAAATTTGCGTTGAGTTCTTGTAGGTTCTGGATATTAGCCCTGTGTCAGATGAGTAGATTGGCAAAATTTTCTCCCATTCTGAGGTGCGCTGTTCACTCTGGATGTAGTTTCTTTTGCTGTGCAGAGCTCTTTAGTTTAATGAGACTCCCATTCTGTCAATTTGGCTTTTGCTGCCCGTTGCTTTTGGTGTTTTAGACATGAAGTCTTTCCCATGCCTATGCCTGAATGGTATTACCTAGGTTTTCCTCTAGGGTTTTTATGGTATTAGGTCTAACATTTAAGTCTCTAATCCATCTTGAATTAATTTTTCGTATAAGGAGTAAGGAAAGGATCCAATTTCAGCTTTCTACTTATGGCTAGCCAATTTTCCCAGCACCATTTATTAAATAGGGAATCCTTTCCCCATTTCTTATTTAAGAAATGGGGAAACAAAGATTATTAAACAATATTCTTATAATCTTAATTCAGATACTTAATTAAAACTATCACCTGATTAGGAGTTCTAAAATATATGACAAGTGATTCAAAATATCTTATTGCTTCATTCTTTCCTTCAGAAACATTCATTGAACACACATGGGCATAGAATACTGAGTGGTATTAGGAATAAAAAGTAAAAAAAGACAGTTTATAAATGTGGGCTTATGTATTTTCATGTTAGTTTAAATCCAGACTGTGTCACTTAATAAGTAACCTTTGGTTAATTAATCTCTCTGAGTTCAAATTCCTCACCTGTAAAATCAGACTAGTACATGTTCTTGTGATTGCTGTGATAATTACATAACTTAAATGATAAATATATATATATATACACACACATGTATATATACAGGCATGTGTGTGTGTGTGTGACGTGGTCCTCTATTTAGAATTTTACTCCGTACTCCATTCCTTTTTCATACCTAGAAAGAACTAGGCTTCAAGACATAACTCCTATTTAAACTCCTGCACCTGTTTGAAAGATTAGATTATTTCCTTAAGTCATACTAACTAAAATTCTTCCTACAACTGTTTATAAAAAAGTCACAGTGTACTGTAGTTAATTCTTAATAGCCCACTTTTGTCAATTAAACTATTAGTAAAGTTAATGGTTAAGTGAACTGATTCTGAGGACAGAATACCAGAGTTAATTACTTATATTAGTTACTTACTGTCCTGCATATACTCAGGCAAGTTGCTAGAAACTTCTGGATCTTGCTGACACAGTAAACAAAATGAAGATTATAAAATTTTTTTCCTATAGAGTTTTTTTTTTTCTTTTTTTTTAGATGGAACCTCACTCTTTCAACCCAGGCTACAATGCAGCAGTTGTGCGATCTCGGCTTACTGCAGCCTTTGCCTCTCAGGTATAAGTGATTCTCCTACCTCAGCCATACAGTAGCTGGGACTACAGGCATGTGCCACTACACC